TTAGGTTTTAGTCTACTTTCTGGTGAGACAGTTAATTCGATCATATTGAATTACAATATTTACTGGCTGCTTCAGGACATTCCCTGGGGCTCTCCATCTTCCAAGTTCTGCCACTACAACTGTAGAACCAAATGAAAATAAGAAAAAAATATTCAAGAAAATAAACATTCCGCATCTCAGCTTGTTTAACTAGGGTCAACAATTGCACGAACCTTGTATCTGTCCATTAGCTTTACATGTTCACACCATCTTATTTATTTCTTTCACTTGCTATTCTTGTACTATTAGAATTTGTCTTGTTTCTCTTTATAATTGGATTATTGATCAGTTCCCGATGTTAAACAGGGCAGGTTGGAACCCGTAGAGGCTTATGTGAAGAAGAATAAGCGAGGATTGGGAGCAGACAAAGTTAAAAAGGCAAAAGAGAAGTCAAAATGTGCTGACAAGCATTCTGATGATAATGAGAATGATAAGGTAAGAATTTATTGCATTTGGGAAGGTCTTGAGTAGTCAATTGAAATAATTCCCTCAGTCATTGATTCCTGCATTTTGTTATTAGGGATGAAAAATCAGGTGGCCTTTCTCTTTTAATATATTTTTCAGTCAAGGTTATTAACCTAGTCGTCATTTATTTAGCGTTTTCAAGAATGTAGGCTGTAACATTCATACAAGGGCAGCACTATAGCTAGATTCTCCTCCTAGTACTGGAGGCTCACTAAGGAGTCCCAGCCACCATATTAGTGGCCTTGTCATTGAGCCCATCGCTTCAGAAATCTTGTGGCGATTGGTAATCAAAGCGAATTCAATTCCAATCTATGGCTGAGGCTGAGATAGTTCCATAGTCAAGTTATAGGGCTCTACCAAATGAGCCCAAAATCCACTAAATAGTTATACTTCTAGATAGTTAATAGTGTTCTGAACTGCTTGCCTTCAACAAATTAAATTTAAGTGTGTTTCACAATTACATATACATTTCAACAAACATAAGCTTTTGAATCCTTTTTTTTTAGTGGATTGTGCAGTCAACCTGTCAAGCAACCAACTTATTTGCATGTCCAAGTAAAAAAGGCCTTGTCACTACGTGATGCTCAATTTGTTAAAGGCTTCCAAATTTTATCAGGATTGGGCTTCTGCTTCACTTGGCCCTTGCTATTGCAAACCTCTTTCTAGTTCTTTTACATAGATACATCATTCTCAAAGTGATGGATATTTTATACTTTCCTGTTTATTTAGTTTGAAGAAGACGAAAAATAGCTGCCTAAACAGCTATCTTTGGGCAATACAAGATAAAAGTATGACTAATTATGGTGTGTTTTTGCTTTGATATTCATCAATAGCTTCCCATTCAAAAAATCTGAAATGGAAGAGGAGCATGCCCATGCCTTAATATTCAGAAGGTTCAAGAAACAAATTAAGGTTTTTATTTATTTGGGCTATATGGCCTGGGGAAAGGAATTAGGAGTTCATTTTTTGGTTCTAATTGAACCATTTGGACAATCACCAGGTTTGGGGGGGGGGGGGTGTTTTATGTTGTATAATATCATATTCAATAGCTTTATTCAAGCACCATTTAAGTACATGGGATTATCATCTTGCTCTCATGTCTTGTTTTTCCTATTCAAATTGAAATGTAGAAAAGACTTTCTATTGTTTGGACAACCTGTTGTGATGGTTTATGTCTGAGATACTCTCTGACTGGAAAACAATGTCGCAATCTGCATATTATAAATGAACTTCATGGGGATCTCTTTGGCCTTTCTTACCACATCTAGTGGACTCTGCACCAGTGTCAAGGAATTGTAATAGCAGTATATCACCTTCATGGTTGAGATCATTTTTGAACAAGTTCAACATTTTGAGCTCATTTGAAAAAGAAAAAAAGTGTTTGCTTTAGCTCCTTTGGATGTTCAGTGGAGCATGTACAAAATAGAGCTAACCTTCACTATGTGTATAATGCCCTTTTTTCCAAAGTATAAGCTCGTTATAGACTTGTAGTTATAACAACTCTTCTCACTGTGTTATCTTTTTCTTAGGTCCCAAATTTGTATTCATGGGTTGCAGTGGTGATTACTGTATTACTATTTTTAAATTTCAAGACATAATTTATATGAGCTTAACTGTTACAATTGTGTCTTTTCTAAAAAATTTTGAAGGTTAATACTTGTGTAGTTGAGACCCTCTTGAATTATCCTAGTTTACAGTCTGAATCAGGGCAGAACTTTATTGAACTGGTAACTTAGTATTTTTGTTTCTGGGTCACAGGTAGCTAATAAGTTACTTTGTTTGATCTAACTGACAAAAAGTCAATGTTGAAGCCTTGCAGTTAATGTTGCTTTTTGATTGTTGAGATATTATATACCTTAAGTTACTGATACTTGTACCCGATAACTACTGATGATGCTACTGCTTGGTTTTCAGCCACCACTTAAAAGTACGGCTAAGCGTGTGACAAAGAAGATGAAGAAATTGCAAGAGTTGGAGAAACGCTTAAAAGAGAAGGAATTTGAGCGAGCTTTCTACAGGGAGTTCTGGCCAGATAATGTCTGACTCACATAACTTCCATGAAATGCTTTGAAGGTTTTAGAATGTTATTTGAAGTTCCCACTGTGATCTTGAAGCTGAAGGAAATGAAATGCTTCAAGTCTTGATTCTTTATACGTCTATGCTACAAATACATTAGATCTCTAGTGTCCTCTGTCTTACATGTATGGGAAGATTTTTTTTTTTAAGTTCCTATTGTAGTTGTAAATATGAAAAGCTTTGTCCCATTCTTGCCAATCGTTGGATAGAACACTTTACTCGTGTAGTGTAAATTCATAATTCAAAAGAATCGTAGTTTCAGTCTTTCATATGATATACTCGTTGACAGTAAAAGTCAATCTGCATCTTTTCTAGCATTGTGGAGCTCAAATGGAAATTTTCGTTGGCTTCTTAAGCTGCCATCAGCTGGCTAAAGGTTCACTTTGGTCCACTGGTAAATTGTGCTGTACTGGTTCTCTTCAATTTGTTTAGGGGTTCCGGCTTTCTTCCTTTGTTGTTCTGATGTTTTCCTAGATATCGAAGGGTGCCCAAGCACGTAGGGGAGAAAACTGGGCCTGTTAGGAAACTGGTTTTCTGCATCATAGGGATCGCAACGGAGTGGGTTTGGGGCCCTGCCCCGAATCCGTCCCATTGCCAAAAAACTCTCTCCACCCCCAGCCCTCCCTGCTTCTCTCCGAATCCGTTTGTGGATGATAATTTGAATTTTTTTTGGATGTTTTTATTCAATAGATCAAAGTTAAATTCAAAAAACAAAATAAAATATGCAGTTGAAGAAAGTGAAAAATAAAAAATGGAACAAGAAAAGTGTTAAAATAAAACGCTAAGAAAAATTAAGGGTCTTAATTAGATTGTATAAATAACACCTGAGAATATTCATAGAACGCGTAACATGTCTATACTAGATACCAACAAGGAATTTGATATCTCCAAATTAATGTCCTGTTTCATAATTTGATTAGCGAGATGCTTGTAAAGAAGTTGGAGTCTAGGAATTTTATGCCTTCTAGGTATGGGAATTCTAGACTTCTTAACTAGGCAAGGAAGATTTTGAATAAAATGTTAGTGAAGCACGTTGTTATCTTCGAATGCATTGATCATCAGATAGGCCAAATTTGTTAGGTATAGTGAAGTCTTGAGCTTTTTGATGATATGTAGAGAGGAAGAGTGAAGCCTAACAATTGTGCAATGGTGACTTTACTGTCTACTTGTGTTGGTATTGGAGTTTTGAACAGGACAAGTGGGTTCATGCTTGGATAGAAATGGGATAAAAGTCATGTTTAGTTATCAAACATTCTAATATTATCATCATTTGATTATATACTATATTACATTTATTTATATTAATAAATTGAAGGGGCAAGAAAAATTCTCCCCTGTCCCTACCCCCGCTCCTGCTCTCGCGGTGTAAGTGATAAAATTAAAAGAGGTTCAAAATCACGAAGCAAATATGTAGAACCCAAAATATTCACCAAAAATATATAGCAAATATATTTCATAAAATCAATATACGAGAGAGGCAATTTACACACATACAGGTATGTGTGGGAGAAGAAGAATAAATATAAAAAATAATATATTAATCACACACTATAATAACAAGCCTCTAAAATCTTTCTTCCTTATCAACTAAACACACTAATATGACTCTCTATTTATACATACACTAGTTGACTTCATAAACAGGTCTTACAACAATAAAAAAATTTTCTAATAAGATACTAATTTCAAAACAATAAAACTGCCATAACTTGATTCCAATATAATTACGAAAAATCTTAACTTGACTAAAACATTATTAAATAATAATATAAAAATTTTTAATATTGAGACTTGATTTAATATGCCAACAAAATAAAGTTCAAGGGGCATGCATGCGAGACTCGCAGAAAAACTCAGGGAATGTAAGGACATGTTTGGATTACTTGTTTCCATCGGAAAATATTGTCGTTTTCCGTGATCACATTTCCCTATCATCTTTTTCTTTTACATATATCAAATCGCTATAGTAATTTTTTCATAAAAAATGACGAAAAATGCAATCCAAACACAATCTATTTTTGCTGCAAATGGACTCTGATGAAAAGGATTTCAAATAGCAGTTAGCTTCTACGTTGAGACTGTGTGGAGGATGACGGACAGCCCATCTGATTATTGGTGCCGCAGCCTCTCGTGAACTTTAGTCAGCTTGCCTTTAACTTTTCTGAGCCGGCATCGCATCGATAAAGGAAAAAAAAATAATTACAACACACTGCTAGTGCTAGTTTTTAATCTTTTTTTATTTATTAAAATGATAGATTTTTATTGATTGAGAGCTAAATTGTATAATTCTTGAATAAAGGCTCGTTAAACTTTGCAAACGCGTATTAAGGCACCGAGGAAGTCCAGCATTCCTCATCTTATATTAAACTAACAGCATAATTGAGCATTATTCTACTTCTTATACTATCTCATTTGACGAGAAAATAAATGAGCATTTCAAAAACAGCAATGTTAATGTAGGGATGTCCTCCATTTGACTTGCTTTCCACAATACAGTTGAATTGCCTTTCTTTCCATCAACTCATCCAATTCCGTTTCCATCAAACTTCCCCAGCTTAGTTTTTCTTCATCATACATTGTCCTAGCTCAATCTGCCGCTAGTAATATCTGACTGATAAAATTAGTGAGATGGGTCAGTCTGCTTCTGCTGCTTCTTCTTTTAGTAGCTCTTATGCACCTGGAAAGTTACCAGAAGCTTTGGAGGAGGTGGAGAAGCTATTGAGTAAGCTAGAGAGTCAGATTGAGAAAAGGAAGTTCTTCAGTCTCACGGTTCTTCTGGATCAACCTGACAGCAGCATGTTGAGCACTCTCAGGGATAAAATCAAAAAATTCCGAGTGGAATTTGGATTCCTGAAAATGTTTTCCAATATGGTTGACTTGTTGAGCTATGGGATTTGGTTTGAGTTGGCACATCTCCCCAAGATTGAAGCTGGAATGGACGAGATAGCCAGGAACTTTCTGATTGCTAGCAAAAAGTTTGATAAGGTTTCCAAGCTGATCCTTGTAATTACCAACTTGTTGGAAAAGATGGAGCTCTTGAAGCCATTAGTTGAAGAATCCTGTGACTATTTGGGGACGAAACACTTCCTGGAGGTGAAGCAAAAACATCCTTCCTGGGATAATCATTTTCATTGGGATAGTTTTCTCAGATCTGTTCAAAAGAATCTGCAGACACTATTAGAGAAAGCTGCTGACTTGCAGCAGCTTGACCCTCTGCCTCTGATTGCACAAATAAAAGCTTTCCAGGAGAGGCTAAGTTATCTGGCCAATTTCTTTGACCGCGTGTCGATTGCTTGGACTCGCAACGCTTATCTGAAGTCTCTGAGGATTCATGTTGGAGCTCCAACCATTCGAGCAGCAAATTTGTCTTGTTTGTGCTGGCTCAGGGGGAGCAAAATGGATCAACATATGGCAGAAGAAATGGCCACTGCCTTTTCAAATCTGCAACAGAAGCTGGATCCTGTTTCCTCTTCATTCCTTGACACGATGCTCCGTTTCCTGGGCACTATCAGGCGTCATGGTGATATTAATTACCCAGTAGACATGTTTATTAATCAGCTTCTCGGTATAGATAGGGAATATCCCTTCTTTTCTGAGTTCAGTGACCTGATAAAATCTTTCATTGAAGCACGAGATGGGCACAATAAGCATGTAGAACCGATCTTGCCAGATATGGCAGTGGTGTTTAGGCAGGCAGGATCTCTCGAGGTCCTGGACTCATTGAGCATAGAAGGAGGTGGAACCGCTGATCTGGTGCATTTCAAATTGGTTGCATTACTTCGTCTTCTCAGAGCAGAGATTGTTATCATTGAACTCCTAAGCCATGAGGACTTCACCATGGAAAGGACTTCTCAATTACTTTTCCAGGATGCGCCCATACTCGACAAAATCATGAGAGGGCAAGTTGGGTTTCTTTCTTTGAACTCCAAATCCCTATATCACAAATCTGCTGATCCACCAGAAGATAAGATGGAATTCTGGAAACAAGTCTATATGCTATCAGGCGAAGTAGCTAAACGCCTGCGATTGCTACCATTCTCCTTCAAAGAAGGAAAACTCCCAAGGTATGGAGTGAGGAGTAAGCTTCTAAAGTGGCTTACTAGCATTTTGGTTTTCAAGGCAAAGGCATATTTAATGGATCTACTCAACTGTAACAATAGCAGTTTGGTTCTCCTAGTGAAGGATGATGTTGGAACACTTGAATCCCTTGTCGCGTCAATCCTACATATGCCCAAGAAATTCATCTTTGTGGACCTTGAGAAAGTCACGGAGGATGAAATACTCGTCTTGATGCTTACTGAATCAGTGGCTAGGCAGGTACTATCTTTCTGTCATTCATTTCATGCCACTCAATTCACAGAAGGTGTGATGGAGTTGCGAGATCAGCTTTCTGGTTTGATAGAGATAACCAAGCAATTAATTAGTGAGATCGATGTCCAACTTCCACTTATTAAGTTCCCAAAGACTAATGGACTCGGCTTTCTTGATTTTCTATTGATAAGGTTAAGGGAATTTCTGAAGTATGAATCAGGTTCAATTTTTGTTGAGCAACAAAAAAGGGGTTTTATGAAGCATAAGTCTGGTTCGATTGGCTTTGTTAAGGAACACATTACGGTGATCCTATCAAATTTTGGATTCTTGAGATCTTTCCTTGGGCAGCAGGACTTCGAGCAACAAGAATTGAGAGAAGTTGGCATACTTGTAGCAGATGCGGCTTATAGAGTGGAACTTATCATTGACTCAATTGTGTTGGGAATTGGATCTCATTGGAAAAACTTGTCCTGGCTTTATCATGTCTCAGAAAATATTGGACATATTAAAAAGCAGCTCACAGAATTTGAAGAGGAGGCCTGTAATGTTGGAGCTGGGAATTGTTCACAGACCATGGGGTGTGAGATTTCACAGACTAGCGCCTTTGAAATCGCTGAAAATGTAGCAGTACAGCAACAAGTGACAGTTGATCGACCTACAGCAGGATCTTCGCAGGGAGACATGAGGTGTGAGGTTTCACAGACTAGTATCTCAGAAATTACTGAAGATGTGGCAGTACTAAATGATCAGCAACAATTGATAGTTGGTGGACTTATGGGAAAATCATTACAGAGAGCTGTAGGGTGTGAGATTTCAGAGACTAGTACCTTTGAGATTAGTGAAGATGTGGAGGTACTAAACAATCAACAAGAAGTGATAGTTGATCGACATACAGGAGGATCATCGCACAAAGTGATGGGGCAGGAGATTTCACAATACAGTACTTTTGAAGTTACTAAAGATGAGGCAGTACTAAATGATCAGCAACAGGTTATGGTCGATCGACTGACAAGAGGATCATCACAAAGAAACACGGGGTTTCATAATTCATGGACTAGTAAATTTGACACTAATGAAGATGTGGTGGTACTAGATGATCAGCAACAAGTGATAGTTGATCGACTTACAAGAGGATCATCACAGAGAGATATAGTCTCCATTGTTGGAATGCCAGGAATTGGCAAAACAACTCTTGCCAATAGAGTGTTCCACAGTCCTGATGTAGTTTATTACTTCCATGTTCGTGCATGGTGCTGTGTTTCACAAGTGTACACAAAAAGAGACTTGCTGCTTGGAATTTTACAGCACACCATTGAGCTCACAGATAGCATTCTGATGATGACCAATGAAGATTTGGAATTCATGTTGTATAAAAACTTGAAAGGACGCCGTTATCTAATCTTTATGGATGACGTGTGGAATATTGAAGCATGGGATGACTTGAAGAGCTCATTTCCAGATGATGTAAATGGAAGTAGGATTCTGATGACAAGTCGTTTACTTGATGTTGTTTCAAAAGTCACTCTGGAAAATGATCTTCTTCATCTTCGTCCACTCTCTGAGGAGGAAAGTTGGGAGTTACTAAAAATGAAGGTATTTTCTAAAGAAGGCTGTCCCGAGGAGCTACTGGAAGTTGGAAAAGAAATTGCTAGAAATTGTAAAGGACTACCGCTTTCTATTGTTGCAATAGCTGGTCTCCTACAAGGGGAACACATGAAACCAGACTCGTGGAAACAAATTGCAGAAAGTTTGAACTCAATCATAGTTATTGATCCACAAACAAGGTGCATGGACATCTTAGAACTGAGTTACAAGCATCTTCCAGATTATCTGAAAGCATGTTTTCTTTACTTGGGAGCATTTCAGGGGGACAAGGAGATTCCTGTCAGGAGATTGATATGGCTGTGGATGGCTGAAGGTTTTATACTGAAAAGGGATTCAAGGAGCTTAGAGGATCTTGGCGAGGTTTACTTGAGAGATCTGATCGGTAGAAGCTTAATAACAGTTGCCAAAAGAAGATCAAATGGTAGTGTCAAAACATGTGGAGTTCATGATATGGTTCGCAATTTGTGCTTGTTGAAAGCTAAAGAAGAAAACTTTTTGAAGTTGGTAACTAATAGTGATGAGCCTTATGCTTCTTTTGATGATAATGTTGACTTCGATGATTTTGATCCTTCAAATTCCGTGATATACGAGGAACATCGACTATGCATGTCTATGAGTCGACAACACTTTGTTGTGTCAAGGCCTTCTGGCCCATATGTTCGTTCTCTGTTGTTTTTTGCCACCAATGATGCTTATCCCAGATGCCCTTATAATGTCTCATTCATTTCTGAGAACTTTGAACTTCTTAAGGTGTTGGACTTGGAGTCAATCAACATGGGTAGTTCCTTCACAGATGGAATAGATTTACTTGTTCAGTTGAGTTATTTAGCTGTTGGTGGTGATATTGACTCTATTCCATCATCATTAGCCAATTTACGGAATTTAGAAACTCTTCTTGTCAAGGGACTGAAAGGAAAGGTCGTACTACCAGATAGCATTTGGCACATGACTAGGTTGAGGCATGTTCATGTAACTAATCATGCTGCCTTTACCTTGAAAAACATGACTGGAAGTTACTATCAATTAAGTAACTTGGTCTCCCTTTCCATGCCAACTCTTTCTTACGGGGAACATGCAGAGATTATAACAAGGAGATTGCCCAACCTTCGAGATCTGAGTTGCATTTTCTCAAAATCAAGGGGCTTCTCCACAGATTGCTATCAGTTTCCAAGATTGGAAGACCTGACGCGGTTGGAGTCACTCAAGGTAGTATACCGAGGAAAGACTACTAATACAGGTGAATTTAACTTCCCCTCAAGTCTTAAGAAGTTGAGCCTATCAAATTTTTTCTTCCGGCAAGATCATATTTCAGCAATTGGTAGACTAGCAAATCTTGAGGTTCTCAAGTTACTTTCTTCAAGTTTTGAGGACGCAATATGGGAGATGGGAGAAGGGGAGTTCCCTGAACTGAAATTCTTGAAACTAGACAGCCTAAACATTGTCGAATGGAATGCCTCCTCTGATCACCTGCCTAACCTTCAGCATCTAGTCTTGCGAAAATGTGAGAATCTCAAGGAAGTTCCAATTGATTTCATGAATATCCCAACATTGCAGCTAATCGAAGTGCAACTCTGTGGAGAATCAGTTGAAGAGTCACTTAGAAGACTTAAGGAGGAGCAACTTGAATATGGAATCGAGGATTTGAAGGTCCTTATCAATCATTAGATGGGGATTTCAGATCTTCATTTTCTTTACATGGATCATTGGCGTGCTTTACATCCTATTGACAAGTAAGTGAATTTGATCTTGCTGGTTGTTCTTCCCCATTTTCACTTAAAATTGGTTGCGTACTCTGGCTATTGCCATATATTGAGTGCATCATCATTAAATTTTTACTACTGCTTTGTAGCCAATGTAACTTACACTTATGTTTCGTTTTGGAACCATAGGCCTTTTGTTTTATATTCTGTTCGCAAGTAAACACTATTCTACTGAAATCCTAATTATCAATCTTTTCCGGGTGTCTTCAACAAGTGCTCTTGTGTGATAATGTGTTTTTCTTTTTCTTGGTTTTGAAGTGACTAGTGACCAAAGGGTGAAAATCGGAGTTGTTCTAGCTACAGTGGTTTCATTGCTTTTCGGATGGCAGCTTTTGATAGTTAAAAACACCGGCTAAAGACAGAAATTTAGGCAATCATTCATATAGAAGCATAAAGCTGGGGATATGAATGGGTGGTTGAGGTCATGGCTATTGCATTTTATTGCTGCATGGATAGGTGATAGACTCGTTGAATTTCAGGAACAGTAACTCTTTAGAGTTATCTTTTGTTTCATATTTCTTTTAGAAATCTTTACATTTTTGTTATCTATTTATGAAATCTCTAAAACCAGGAAACAGGGATGCCATGACGCTTTCTCTGAATAGTTTCCATTTCAAAAGCATCACTGTCCTTGGAAGAACACGGCGTCATGATTTTCTTCGAGCTCAAGTATCTCTCTTTTCATGAAGATGCTTGAGATTAATACTTTTGACTAGGTAAATTCAACTTTGTCGCCATACAACAATGACGTATAATTTATTGCTTATACAATTTTACTAGTTACTTTCAGTTATTAGCATTCTCTATAACTTATTCAATACTGGGTTCAAAGCATCCGAAGACCTGATTTGGCTCTAGAACAGTAGTAAACCATTGAGAAACTGAAGGATACTCATTATAGGTTTAACGAAAACTGGTTGCTTTAACATGTAACTCTGGTTTAGTTCTAAACTTTGTCGACCAAGGGTTTTTCAGTTGTTTCTTTTCTCTCTCTCTGGCTCCGTATTTGCGTTGATATACATTAAACAACCGTACTTGTCCTCAACAATTTCTGCTTTGTTGACATGAATTCTGGTGCAGATGTTTGCTGCAGTTCAAGTGAAGATAAAATGCAAAGTCTCAAAAGCTCTCAAGATAAGAATGGGCAAACTCACATTGGGAAGGTCTTGGTGACGATAATCATCTTGCTCTTCTTTCCCTAGTATGTTGAACATGAAATAATCTCAATCTTGCTTATTGACTACTACAAATGCTAATACTTGTTTCACCCATGCTTAAAATAATAAGTAAGATTTTGGGAAAATTAAGGATGAAAATTACTTAACACAGCTTAATAAACCTATAAGATGCTACATTCAGTCAGCTACAATCGCCTGCTCCTGAGATTACTGTATTCTTTGACTTTATGTATGAATAAATTTATGTTGGGTTTGTTTTATCACTTTTCTGCCTAAATGTTGTTCCTAACTAGAGCGTTGATTTGTTCCTAATGTGAAATAAGCAGGCAGGAATCAGCAAGGATGGTGTGAGGATGAATGAGTGAATGCTTGGACCAAATGGAATGAGAAAGGCAGAAGAAAAGTCATAGAAGCTCGAGAACTATCCATTCTAATGAGAACAGTGGGAAGGTAAATATCACCTTCCTGGAGTTAGAGAGTTTTCAGTAGAGTTCAAAAACTATTTGTGCATTTGTCTTGTGTACGTACCTGCACCATTGTGTGTGGTTCGAGATTCATCAATTGCTTCAGTTTATGCAGAGATTAAACGGATTTTTGAAATTCATTTTCCTAATGCTCACTTGATCAAAATATTGTGCAAATAAAGAATCTCAAACAGGAAGCCGAACATATGCTGAGTTGTGCTTCTTAAAAAATGATATTGCTATGTGTTCAATGAAATAGTTATTCCTGGTAACATGAAGTGGTTGAGTGCCAACATCCAATATCAGCTGTCAAAAGATTACCTCAAGCAATTAGGAGTTCATGTAGTTGGGATCATGACAGGTGAGGTACTAACAGTTATCTTTTGTTTTCTAACAGAAGAATTTCCAGAAGAAGAGAAGTAGGGATGGCTGAATAACCAACAGCATGAAACTCTAAATGTGCTTTCTTGCACACATTATGTTTCTGCAATTTTTCAAACCTTGGGGGAGAGGAGGGTTGGGGGAACTGTCTGCACCTGCGATGTACCTCGGGAGGTTGTTGAAATCGTCCCGATGTTTACCATGATGAACAAAAGCATATGCAATTTGCAGCAAGGCTTTCAAATCTCTCTTTAGACATCTCTGAACATGAAAGCTCACATGCCAGTTTCAGCGAAAACAAGAAGAACAACCCTTGTAACACGTCAACGAAAGAACGGAGAGGAGGAAGACCGGAAAGATTAGAGACCCCAACATCAGCATTGGCTTCCTCCCTTTCGAGTTGGATACTCCATTTAACCGGATGCAGACATCCTCGACAAGTCTACTTCGAGGAATATCGACAAGTCTTCATTAACCAAAGGTGGACTCAGAAAGCACTTCAATTCAGCAAAGTGGAGTGATGCATTCAAGTAATTAAAGAACAGACTACTCTATGAAATTCTCGTCACCTGGCTTCTGTCTTTCTGAAGCTGTTCCATTATGACAAGCACTGGCTCTATTCCTAGACTGATGCCCTGCTTTCTCCCAAACATTCCTATAAGGTTGTCATAGCGTCCCCCAGCAGCAATCGAACCAACCTGCATGACGTTGACATTGGAATCCCTTTTAAACTGCAATCAGATATACCCCACCAAACAAACCGAAAAGGAATCTAACTCTAGGTGGCTAAAATTAAATCTGTTTTACACTTGTAGCCTCTTCCTTCTAACAAACTTATGAGCAAATTAACAGAAAAATGAACACAGAAAAGAAAAAGAACTGAAACCTGCCTTGTCAAATTGGTTCATGTCACTTAGAAGTCAATCACTCTAGAGAGAGTTGGAGTGTTGCCGCTGTGGAGCAGGAAGGCAAACAAATAGTACATCATATACAACAAAATCCAACACCACAAACAACCAGAAAAGAGGAGTATGCCAACAATAAAGAACATGACAGGCGCTTGAGGCTTCATGATCAATACGAATAGGGCAAATTTCACTTTATCCCCCTGTGGTTTAGCCTTTTTTACATAATCCCCCTATGATTTCAAAAGCTATATATGACCCCCTCATGATTTGAATTAAAGTGTCAAAGTGACAGAAATAATCATTCGTAACGGAGTCAGCTAAAATGTCAAAAATACCCTTTTGTAAAGTTAAAAATTATTTATTAACCAAGGAGGATTATGTGTATATTTTAAAAACTATAAGGGGGTTATATGGTAAAGTATTAAGCCATAAGAAGGTTATATGGTAAAATATAAAAATTATATGGGATTAATGTGTCATGCTCATGTATTTATAAGAGTAATTTCGATATTTTTAGAAGTTCCGTTACGAATGGCTATTTCCGTCACTTTGACACTTTAATTCAAACCATGAGGGTGTTATGTATAGCTTTTGAAACTATAGGAGAATTATGTAAAAAATACTAAATCATAGGAGGTAAAATGTAATTTGCCATAAGAATATGCCAACACTACAACCTTTTGCCAGCTATAGGAGGTGTGTAACCATCAACGCTTTTGACAGGATTTTTATACAAAAGGGCACACTTCAATATTAAGAAGAAAATGTGAATTAGATTAATTGACGTGCAGGCAAGAGCTCAAAGTAATAAAATCAAGTAGTTTCCTCACAAATCTTCAACCTTACAAAATACACTAAATATTTAAGCAAACAACAATCCTAAAATTGGAAGTAGTAGTAATTGGCCAATGTAATTGGAACTAGTAGTAATTAGAACTTACCTGTGTAGACCCTTTAAAAACAGCTTCAAATATGACTCCAATATAGTAATCAAGGCCTCTTGCAAGACTCAAGTCAAAAACTACTTTTGCCGTCACACTCAACTTTTCCTAAAGCTTTGAATAAGATTTCTAATTCGTTCAATGCAAGGCAGGATTCACTATTCTCCAAGAACTTACTGCCTTCCCCCTTCAACTTACATAAAATTTCCATGGGGGATCCACGTTCTTTCACAAATGTGCCAATTGCATCTGCATCCTCTTCAGTTAAACCCTTCTCATTCAAACAATAAAAACTTCAAAGCCCAATATATCAAATATGAAAAAGTCAAGTACAAAATAATTGTTAACTTGGATAAAAGGCAAAAAAAGTGAGCAATAGACACTGAAGACTCCTTGAATAATGTAGACCAACTATTTTAATATCTCTTGGTTATGGAGTCAAAGGAGATGGCTTGGAGTTTGGAATTGCCCCTACATTCGGATCCTATGAGGACAACAAATCACCAAGTTTCTGATCAATCACGAAAATTTAGATAAAAAGGATTCTCTTTTAAGTTCTAACGAACAGCTACACTCATTCCATGACAGCTTTTGAGTTCATGATATTTTTCAAATCAAGTAACCATTAAAGTCTAGAAACATTCATATGCTTAAGATTTAATGGCAGTTGATGCTTTAAAAAACTGATTGCATTTCAACCAACGATCAATCTTTTGATACTTTCAGAAAGAATAAAAAGCTCTGGACTAGCATTTCATTGCTTCAAATACGTGAATCTTCTTGATACAGATTTTGTATCTGCAACACTAAGAATTAAAGCCCACTGAATCTAATCAACTCAATGGTTGTTAGCAAAGCCATGCAACATGGATATTTATAAGTCATGAAAACAAAGATGTACTAAGTAGTAACATACCTGTACTTCCAAGTCCTCCGCTTGTACTAACTCATACATCCAGCTGATACACTTAAAGTTTCTTACATATATAACTGATAAACATTAAACATAGATTCCAATTCATGAAAAATTGTTGATTCAGTGGTTTGCTCCTTCTAAATTGCCTAGAACTATGTGGATGTTCCTACAACCACGAAATTACCAATTATATATTATCATTCAAATAAAAGTCATTAAGTGCCTGAATTTTATCAAAAAAAGCACAGATAGGTTACTAAGCGATTACTTAAAAATGCAAGGAACCAATCAGAGCAGGAAACAAGTAATTAGAATAAAATGGTTCAGGGCTGGATAATATGAGGGTTGACGACATGAATTTCAATCTTCAACAGTTACTAGTCAGCCTAGATAAAATAACATAACTGAAAAAAAAAATCAAAAGTAAAACAGAAGTTGCAGGGCCATACCATTTCTCTCTTTATCTACTCAAAAGATTGTCTGTCTAATTTGTCAATGCTAGAACAGATTCAACTTCACCTACAAAAAAGTTACCAGAAAAGCCTAGTTAGATGATTAAATGGTTAAAACTTCATGTTTTTGTTAGATTTAATAACTCAATCATCAAATGGAGTTAAGTAAGAAGATATTTGGATGATTTTTGATGAATTGAAGTAATTTAAAGTGAACATGAAGTATAAAATGATCAAAGTGTGAAATGCAATCAAGTTCAAAAGAAGAAAAGTTTGACAGCTCCAATGCCTTCTAGTATTTTGGCTATAACTCAAGCTACAAGTACTAGATTGATATGATTCTTGAACTATTTTGAAACTAAAACATAGAGCTACAGAAATCAATTTCATAAGTTTTCATGGTGAAAAATCTAAAATATAGAGCTGCATTTCTGCTGCCAACATCTAAAATAGGGGTTTGACATATGAGAGTATTTTAGTTATTTCTTAATCTACAGGACTCCAAATGAGATAATTCTTAAAGCATTAGAAAGTTAACTCAAAGGTTACAACTTTTATACTTTGTTTAAGGGTTACTTCATCTTCTATTATTGAGAAAATTGCAGTTCAATTTGGTACAAAAACATAGTAGTTTCCAAAATCATCATAAATGTGCAAACCTCAAGGGGGATGGGGGGGGGGGACAAAATGCTACCCAATCGTGACCCGTCACCAGCGTTTTGACCTAGCATATTCATATTTCAGCTGCTTTATAGTTGAAACCAGTTGCACTTCAATTTGTAGTTCTTTTCTACTACTTTTTGATCAATTTTCTGAACGGATTTCAGTTGGAAAGTGTAAGAAGCATCTTAAAGATTTTGAGAATCAACTTTTGGAAGCAATTTGCAACAACTTTATCAAGTTGTTTAGGAGATTCGATTTTCTATAAACAGGGCCTCTTGTGAACATTTCTTACAACTTTGGAGGCTAGAGAAACTACACAAAATGTAGTCTTTCACTAGAATTTCTTAGTTCAGTAGCTTAAGGTAGGATTAGTATAGTTTTTATCCGATCTTTGTACTAGCTAGACATGGATGAAGATTGAGAATTGAAGATGAAAAGATTGATGCTCACAAGTGATAAGGGGTTTAATCTTTTCAACTCTTTACTTCTTGTATTTGAATCTCATACTTAGTGTTAATACAAGTTTGGTATTTGTTTTCATTTTCTTCATGCAATGCTAGTTTCTATACCTAGAGGATGGACGAACTACCTATGATTGTTATGTGAGGTTTCATGGTTAAGTGAGTTATTTCTTGAGCATGTTATTTGGCACTTTTGCTATTTCAATTCTGATTAATTGATCACTAATTATGATTACCTAAAGGTGTTGTATAATCTATGAAAGTTGTGATTTAACACTAGTTCATGTAAGTGTTAAACCTATGGAGTATTCTCATGGAAGTAGGGAAATATCTTTGTGATTTTAACTATAGATTTTAATGAACATATAGCTAGTTTCTTCATCATGAAATGTAGGTAAGGGATAATTATAGGTATAGTTGGTGCACTGCTGAAAGCGAGTATCCCGTACATTAGTAAATTAGCCATAATTTCGCTAAGAAAATAAATTCAATTAACCGGTAATTTTCACTTACAAGAGTAGTTAAGAATCTCATAACCCTGGGAATATCTTTCTTGTCATTTTTATTACTTTTGTTGTATGATAATAGTGTAGATTTACTTGCTTTAATTATTATAATCTAAATAATAAAGGAGTTCAATTCACACGAATAATTGACAATCTTTCCTGTGTGACCGACATCTAATATCTCTTATGCAATGATAAATGATTTATATACTTATAGAAAACGGATTATTTTGATTTACAAATTTGGAAAGAATGATTAAACCTCGTCATCTTCTACGCATTCTTCTTGATCTCTCAAGAAAAATATATAATAGGATAAACTAAAGGTTAGTTTAGTGTTTTCTAACTCTTAAAACACCCTAAAATGCTCCTATTCATAACTTTCTAAAGTTGTAAGCTAAGTATCGTAGGATTAGATTTTGAAAAGTTGTCAAAAATCAAGTTTGAGCATGTTTCCTAAGGAAGTTCGGCTCAAAGATCAGCTCTATGCCCAGTCCGGGCTTATTTCAATGATCACGAAAGACTAGAATCCGAAGAAGTCCGGCCCAATATCTCTTTCAATATTCGGCGCTGGACATGGGATCCACCCACAAATCCACTAGGATCTGCCCGCGGATCCTTTGTATCTAGGCAGCCCTCATTTGTTTTTTGCTGGCCTTGCGCCATTGTTCTTTGCGTGATTCTTCTTGCCAAATTTAGTCCATTTGCCCTCCAAATAAACTCTCCACATATTAAAGCAATATAAGAACATAAATGAGTATTTTTTTATTCAAATTAA